ATTCCACCATTGTTTGATTGTTCGTCAGTCAAATGCACCTCAGCGTCGTCCTGGGTGCATTCTGAACCATCTACGTTGCCTTCTTCAAAGCTTAGATCTTCCAAATTGTCATGTTGTAAGGACTTCTCTGCAAGCGCTTTAAGCTCAAACGCTTTCTCCAGAACCACGTCATCAGGTAGGGAGAAAATCTCCGCCTCTGGAAGGTCCGCTTCAGTATCATCTGAGTGCTTCTCAGCCGTGAGTAACTGCCCAGCTTTTTCAGTAATGACTTTCGTGACGTTTTTGGTTAAGGGACTGGAATTCGCTTCAAAAGGCTTGACTTTGTTTGATCGGTTAGACCCTGCTCGCCAATCTCTTCCGCTACAATCTCAAGAATTGAATTTGTTTCAGCAGCAATATCAAGGCGCATATCCTTGGGAGTAGCGTGTTCTGTAAGTATTGCACGGCTGCCTTGCAATGACAAGCAGCATGACAGAATGCCTGTTTAGCAGTGATCTTGCCACCGTCCATGAAACTCTTCGCATCTGTGCCCAGAGGTTTCACAGTTGCACATCCAGTGGCAATGGCAATTCTTATTCCTAAGAACTCGCTCGCTGAAAGTGCTGCAGACTGCACAAGGGATGCTCCTATGGCCGCTCCACCCGGAAGAAAGGCAAGGAGATATCCAGCACCTGTTGAAATGAGATGCTTTTGAACATCACGTCCGTCCAGGACTGCCTCCTTGCTAATAGTCTCCCTTAAAGAATCGAAACCACCTTTGACAGCACATTGTGACCAAGGAGATGATAGACCAGCGGTTAAAACAATTGTTACGATTACTCCGATTGTAAGACCAGCCGATAAAGCAAGGAGACCCATTCTCTTCATCCATGCCAGCCTTTGAGCAACGGTCTCGCACTCAGGCCAAAACACAGCTTTGAATCGTTTACCCGACAGCCACCCTTTTGTCGTAGTCCGCCAAGTTGTTGTACCGTGCACGTTTTTCTCGATCTTTTAAAATGCTGTACGCCATTATCAACTCACGGACCATGGCAACAACACCATCTTCCAACCTCGTCCCCAGGGTCTTCTCGCTTTCCAATATGGCGGCGGCAGGAGAGAAGACCCTGGCACACAGCGAACTAAAACGATCGCTGATTGGTACATTCTATAGCGCGTTCATACGTGCGCTCTCATTGGTTTATTCCTTCCAAAACAAAGATGGTTAACCTTTGAGGGCTTCGTAGAGGCTGAGAAGTGCTTTCTTCAGTGTTTGAGACCTAAAAGGTGGACAGAATTCAGGTCTGATTGTTCAGAAAACTGTGACTGTACCGTTGGAAGGCAAAGATTCGAATATAGTGATATCTGGTAATCGCTGGGAATATTATAACGCGTAGAGGTATTTCTGTTACTCGTGCTATTTGGTTTGTGTTTTCCGAAAATTACTAAAGATTTGTTTCTTTAATTCCCGATTTGTGAAAGAATACTTGCAAGGCTTCAGCTTATCAAAAAATTTAGCTGCCCGTTGCAAAGGTGTAGTATTGTTCTGCCTTATGTTTTCTTTGAACAAAAGCTGTATGAATAATATTATTAATGTATGGGGTTATACGGAAATCTTGCATAATCTGCGCTTTGTCTCAGCAGTTTTTTGTCAAGTGAAACATTCTTTTCATTTGATCGTGACATTCATGGGCCTAACCTGGCCTTCTTTTAATTTTTCCACTGTGATTTTGAAGGGGGACGAGGAGCGAGAGAGGCAGATGTCGAAACAAAACTAAAAATTGAAGCCAAACATAGTGTCGCTATCATTTGATATTTTTAATCCTGACTTTTCATTTATTCAGTTTTTAGGGTCACAATAATGATAATTTATTATTATTTGCTCATTTCATTGGCAGTAAAATACAGCTAAATACAGAGACATTGGGAAAATAAACTGTTTCCTTTCTCAGAAATGAAAAACTTACATATTGATGTATTGAAGCTTGTGGGATTTCTTTCTAGTTGCAAAAATAAAATAAATGAAAGCACATGATGTCTTTTATTTTATCAAGTTGAAAACAGTGATCAGCCCATTCAAGGAAATCTGACAGTCTTGGATTCTCAATTTTGCGTCATGGATACTGCATTCTGGATTCTTTGTCAGTGGAACATGGATTCGGGATTCCAGTTATAAGTGGGATCCTGAGTACTTTAGGACCTTTATTCCAGATTCCAAGAGAAAAATTTCCCAGATTCCAGACATGGGGTGACAGTGACCCCAAGATAAATACGTTTTCTGTCAAACTAAAACCTGTCAATTGAGCTTCTAATTACTGTAGGCTAAGTGTGCATGTTGTTCTTGTCACTATATCCTTGAAAAGGGAGTTTGTGGACCAGGTGAAAAAGTGGCTGGTACTGTAGTATTCCAACACCAGCTGGGTATGATTGTGAAGCAGCTATAATTCAGTTCTAAAACTTGGATTTAAAAAAATAAACTGCTTCAAAGGGTGCATATATCACTATCCACTGAATAAACAAGAGCGGAAGGGGCCTGGAGCATCTCGATCATGGGATTTTTCATGTCGGGATGCAAAGGCTTTTGAAGTGTTTTGTGCCAGAGTCCCCATTAGCATAGTGAGCTTTTTAGTTGCCTAGTCATGGCCAATGAGTTTTAGGTCACGTGGTCCCAAGCGAAATAGTGAAACAGTTTCCTCCAGTTTGCCTAAAATAAGTCACCGAAATGAATTGACCAAGAATTAAGGCCTTGGAAAATGCCACACAGGGACAAGGCAAGGCTTTTTAGCTTGTTTAGGTGTTGTGGTGTGAGGTTGCAGCTGTTAGATGTGCTGGCTTAAATACTTTCCAAGTCTACTTTAAGGTGTTGGTTAGTCTTAGGAATAGTGTCTGTATTATAATCATATCGTCAGAAATAATCAGATTAACCCAACTATTAAACTGATAATCGATTATAGTAGATTATAGTTTTTTGCCCCGTGTGCCACTTTTAACACTGTTAATGTTACAGCGCGCAGACGCAGAGAAAACACAATATTCTTTGGTGGGCAAAGTTGGGCGGGAATATACCCGCAAGGCTCGGATAAAACCCACCGACCGGATGATGACCGAATGAGGGGCCTCGGTACATGGCGCCATACCGAGGGGGTGCCTCATGCCTGTACTGCAAGGGGGGCATAGTTCACGCGTGAAAACGCATGGCCGGCATAATGTCCTTGGGCCAAGTTAACCAAGTCCAGCAAATCCTATAGCCCCCCTCCTGACGGGGCTTCAGCACAGGGCTGAAGGGTGCCGCAGGCAGCAATTCCCCGCCCTTAATGATTTTATTAAACGTCTCTGAATCTACAGACAAGAGATAGTGCAAATGCAGTGAACAAATGTAGGAAGGTTAAGGAAGGCAAGAAACAAAGAAAAGGGGAGGGTGGGAGGGAAAAAAACTTTGGTGCTGCTCAACTTGCAGCCTTCAAAGAAAGTGGCGATTGAACGAACTGGCGCAGAATAAGACAAAGAGGCAGGCTGCCAAATAAGGAGATCGCGTGTTTGGGATAAACCGCAGTAGCGATGCAGGCTCAATAGTTGTTGCTTGCCAACATTAACCTTTATTTTATGCTAAAATATCAATTAATGTTACAGCGCGCAGACGCAGAGAAAAAACACAATATTCTTTGGTGGGCAAAGTTGGGCAGGGGAATATACCCGCAAGGCTCGGATAAAACCCACCGACCGGATGATGACCGAATGAGGGGCCTCGGTACATGGCGCCATACCGAGGGGGTGCCTCATGCCTGTACTGCAAGGGGGCATAGTTCACGCGTGAAAACGCATGGCCGGCATAATGTCCTTGGGCCAAGTTAACCAAGTCCAGCAAATCCTATAGCTCCCCCCTCCCTGACGGGGCTTCAGCACAGGGCTGAAGGGTGCCGCAGGCAGCAATTCCCCGCCCAAAACGCCGAGTAATACGAGAAGTGCCCTGTGTAAAGCCCCAGTCTCTAAGACCCTTTCTCCACCTGGTCGCGAGGGCTGGATACAGCTCTTATCCGCTCCACGGGGGAATGAAATGAACCAGAGACCATCGGTGGAGAAAGGGGATTGAGGAGTGGACAAGCGGGTATGATCACGTTCTAACTTAAGAACCCAACCGAAACTAAACTTGGGTAGCATGACTTAATGAATGTTCTAGTAGGACACAGTGTTCTCAATTGTGTTACAATGAGACATCATAGTGTTCTCAATAAACAATACAAAGAGACACCCTAGTGTTCCCATGTTGTTTGTTTGTTTTTTTTTGTTGTTGTTGTTGTTGTTTTTTTTTTTACGCAACATAAGAATGTTCGTGATAAACAGTATAGAGCAGCATAACTGTGTTCCCAAAGCCAAGGAAGCGTGGACAATAGTCATTGCGATGTGACATCTAATTGTTTTCAAGTCATTAACTGGATAGACAGGAGGCCAAATTTTGAGGGACTTGGAGAATGGTTTCTTTGGGTGTCCTGATGTACGACTGATATACATCAGATTTCCAACGGCCAAGAACTTTAATGAGCCAGTCTGGAAGGCCAGCAGCCCCCGCAGTAGTGGCTGCTCCAATGCGGAAACTGTGTGATGCATAGCAGGTACTATCCAATCCACAAACCTTGAGAAGAGCCCGTAAGTTGTTGGTGAGGGAGGACCGAGTAAGATGTCGTCCATCCGAGAATTGGAAGAGGGGCTGGGTAGCTCCACTGGGATTAGTTTGAAGCAGATAGTCTCTTAACGCGGTGACTGCACATACAGTAGAGTTTGATTTGGCGATAGTGAGCTTGGCTGTCTCACGGAAAGGGTCTGTTTTGGACTTCTTGATGACAACCTCGAAAGACACAGGTTGGACAATGTTGGGGTAAAAGTGGACGTCCAATCTTGTCAGGTGGGATTGAATATTGAACTTGCCGTTGTGGTGAATTCGCTACTACGTAGAAAGCCAAAGAACGCAAGGGTAAAAGCAGCCCACAACATTGAAGAATCTGTGTCCAACGATTGGAAGGGTTTTAGTTTGGCATAAATTTGGCGGAGGATCGAAATAGTAATAGGGAACCGGGCCCGTTTGGCAATACCGAGGAGGATTTGATCCCTCGAAGGGTCTTGTATAGGAAGGGCATGGAGGAGAAGTCCAGGGGACAGCCAAACTCAACATGGAGATTCTTAACTGCTGCCAGATAAACTTTAATAGTGCCATACGAAACGGTATTGGATAAGTGGGTGACGAAATGAATTAAGGTTGATTCACTGGTAGGGAGAAAAGGGGTTTGGGGTGAAATGAGTTTATGAAAAAGGCAAAATCTAATAAAGTGTCGCTCCCCAGAGGAATAGGTTCGACGAGTAGAGCTGGCGATGGACTGGAAAATGTAGTGAGCAGCCTGCATAGTTAGACTTTCGTCAGGAAAGGAGGGATTGGACAGGGAACGGGCGATGCATCTGGTGCGAGTTGGTGGAACCGGGGCATCTGAAAGCGAGATAAACTATCAGCTATGCCGTTGTCGACCCCTGGGACGTGCTTTGCGGTAAAGGTAAAATTAAACTTCAAAGTTTGAAAGGTGATCAAACGGACAAGGTTCATGATGCGGGGAATTTTTGAGCTTTTAGCAGACAAAACTGCGACGACTGCCTGGTTGTCACAATGGAAACAAATTCTCCTGTTAGCCCAATGGGGCCCCCAAATCATGCAGGCAAGATAAATTGGGTAAAGCTCTTGCCAGGTAATACTTATCCCTGTGGAGGGGTTGAGCTGGTGGGAGGGGAGCCATTTTCCCTGGAACCACTGATTGTCAAAGAAGGCCCCGTATCCGACTGCACCCGCTGCGTTTGTATATAAATGGATTTGTGGGGATGATTCTGTGTAAGGGGGCAGAAAAAGGCTAACACCATTCCAGTGGTCGAGGAAAAATTGCAACATGAGGATGTCCTTTCTGAACTCCTGGGTGAGAAAAATAATCCGCTTGGGGCGGACACAACCCAGGTAAGGTTAATGATGCGCTGCATGAAAGGGCGACCAGGGAAATAACCTGGCAGGCGAACTGCAGAGTCCCAATGAGGGACTGCAGGTCCTGTAGACGACAGACCCGTTTGGAAGACCAGTCCGCTAGCAGGGACCGGGCATTACTTAACTTATCCTCGGGGAGACGAGCCTGCATGTTTACGGAATCGAGTGTTATTCCCATGAATTCAAGAACTTGGGTGGGGCGAAAGGTTTTCTGTGGGGCAAGGGGAATGTTTAATTCCTCAAAGAGGGTAAGAACCCGGCAGAGGGCTGTGGCACAAAGGGACGAGGGGCAGGTTGAACAACGAAAAATCGTCGAGAATGTGTATGATGGAGGGATGTTCAGGTGTTGTCTGACCAACCATTCCAGGGTATCAGCGAGTTGATTAAAAGAGAAAAGGGCACTCCTTAGCCCGAAGGGGAGGGCTTTGTCGAAGTAATAACGACCCTTCCAGGACATCCCCAAGAGTTCCCAATCCCCGGGGTGAACGGGGATAATTCGAAAAGCGGACTGTATGTCAGTTTTTGTCATAAAGCACCCGGGGCCGTGGTTGAGGACCAGGGCAATGGCATCGTCAATCCGAATATACTGAAGGGTGTAATCCTCAATGGGTATGTTAGCATTTAAGCTATCCGGGGACCCCTTGGGGTAGGATAGGTGGAAAATAGTGCGCCACTTTTGGCTTCCCTTTTTGGGGACTAGGCCGAGGGGATGAATTTGAAAATTTTGAAAAGGGGTGGATTCAAAGGGGCCAGCCAGGCGACCAAGCTGGACTTCCTCTAGCAGGTTTTTCTCAATAACTTGGGGTTGTTGGATGGCAGATGGGAGATTCTTGGCAGCTCTGGGGAAGCGGTTACCTTTGTAACCCAAGTGGAAACCATGGCTTAACCCATCGCAAAGTCTAGTTACAAAAGCTAGATTAGGGTGAGTCTTAAGAAGTTTGTGTAGCAGGGGAACATTCACCGGGGTTTGGGGTTTGTATGATATGGCGGCTTTAGCGGTTTGAGAGTTTCTTATCACCCTGGCCTCTAGTTTTTGAAGGGGTGTCATCGTGTCGGTAGGCAGGGTGTTCTCCATTGCAGACCCTGCAGCGGTGGCTGAAGGAGCAGGGGTCCTGGCTGCTTTTGGCACCTCTGTTGTAATTGTTACACGTTCCTCGTTGGGTAGGATTGGGCCTAAGGGCAGAGAGGGAACACCCATGAGAAAAATGATCCCCACTACCACATATGGTGCAAGAGGGCCTTTGTAAATTTCAGGAGGTACAATTGTATATCCCTTTCCCCAATTAAGGGAATGGTGGGCGGCTGCTTTCCTACGAAAGTCTATATCGTAGGAGAGCCATGCAAATCCCGCGAACTTACGGTAGGCCGAGCGGATGATCTCTTGGTAAGCAAACATCTCGACAGCCCTGTGGGGGGAAGGAAGTCAGAAAGATTGTACAAAAAAACAGCAAAGGCCGAAAGCCACCTATCGATTGAGTCAATGTGGGTTTTCTTCTTGCGGGCAGGGTGGGAATATTAACTTGTTTCCCCTCGAACGAAATGGACACCCGGGGAGTTCGCTTTCGTTTAGGCAGGAGTTTTCTGGCAGCAAAGAATCGAATTCAACAAACTCACCGCGTAGGATTAGTTGCCGAGTCTTCTGGGGGACGTGGGCTGCGATGGATGAGGAAGCTGGCTGCATTCGGGACTGAGATGGGCCGTAGTTCGAGGAACCCGATTGTGAAAGAAGGCTCGCGACGAAAGCAGGGTCAGATAGTTGTTGTCGCGCTGGAGGTTGGTGAACTGAATGTGCTGGCTGTTGTGGTACGGGTGATGGGTTCGTTGATGCGAAATTTTTTAGCTTTTCATCGACTATGGTGGCGATGAGGGTGGCTAGAGCCGCTGGATTTGAGACGGGGTTAGGCGGAACGCCCCTGTCGCGGACGCCATCTTGTGCTTCGCACGTGGTTAGTTCGGTATCGCGTCTTTGAAGTCTCTCAGCCTGCAGCGGATCTTGTTCATCATTCCGAGCGCTCGGTAAATTGCCTTCCTCGTTGGGCTGCTCAACGTCACCGGGTAGGTTAGGGGCGACAGGAGGAGGATCGGTGTTCGTGCGAGGCCTTTTGGCTGCTGGGTCGGCGGAATCGGAGCTTCGTGGACGTGATGTTGGCGCATCAACATTGATCGTGCCCAGGCGTTCGATCATCTGTTCGCGTGTTCCCGAGATAGCAAGCTGGTTTTGGGCCAGTAAAAGGCGAAGGACCTCGTTCGTAACGCCTGAAAGATCCATGAAAAACTTTGGTGCTGAAAAAACTTTGGTGCTGCTCAACTTGCAGCCTTCAAAGAAAGTGGCGATTGAACGGACTGGCGCAGAATAAGACAAAGAGGCAGGCTGCCAAATAAGGAGATCGCGTGTTTGGGATAAACCGCAGTAGCGATGCAGGCTCAATAGTTGTTGCTTGCCAACATTAACCTTTATTTTATGCTAAAATATCAGAAAATAATTTTGTAAGTGAACAAAACAAAAAACCTACCCTGCAAGCAGAGGCTTATCTGTCACATAGTTAAACCAACTAAACATCATATAAACTAAATTAAGACCCCATCAAAAAGGCAACACAGGTGTATTAATGTCCTTATTTGTCAACAATGTTTTTGTGAATTTTCCACAACAATCAACTGAACATTTGTATAAGCAATACTCACTTTACTTTAGGTTTCTGATGCTTTATAGATTATGATCGATAATCAGCACACCACTACCAAGTCATGTCTCAATTAGAGTACGAAAGGGCCCATCTGACGAGCAAAGCATGTTTGACTTAAAACATCTATTATCTCCAAATGAGATAGGAACTTTTACTGCGCACATGACTCAGATAGGACTATCAAATTTTTGAACAACTGGAGTCTAGCCTTTAGTCAATTTGCACATTGACATGGCAAAGTGCAGCCCCAAGTAATATGTCAAATAAACCAAAGTCAGGGATTAAGAAAGTTTTTGCTCTGAAAATCAAATCTATTTCAAAGTGGAGAATACATTTTGGATTGCTATATTAGAAACAATGGAAAAACTCTTCACCTTTTGCTAGCTATTAAAGCGGGGTTAATGCTTTTTTTTACATCTGAGAGGCAAAAAAAACCCAATAATAACAACATCTTAAATCCTCTGTTAAGGCCTCCTCTCTCAAATAAGCCCTCCTTTTCAGTGAAAGAAAGTTTTAACAATAAGCCCCCGTCTTTTTTAACCCCCATCCCACCTTCCCCCCTTTTCTTATTCTTCAGTAATAAATAAGAGACTGTATAAATCAATGAAAACTATAAAGCTTTCTGTGGACCGATCCAGGATGATTTATTCACCAACTGGAAGTTCGGATTTGTTTTTGATCCTCCGCTGCTTGACCTCCAACCTTCTTGTACTTGGGCTTTTTCACTTGGCATTTTTTTGGGGGGAACTAATACCCCCGTCTTTGCTAGATTAAATAAGGCCCCTATCTCTATTGCCCGGAAGCACTGTGAATGGGGTTAGATATCAAAAGCCAATAACAAAGTCTAAAAACTGTGAAGTAGATGAAGATTGACGATAATTTTATTACCTGTACCAGTTCAAGTGACAAAATATCCAAACTGACCACGGAACTGTTTAATTTTCAACCAAAGTTTCCTCAAATTATGTTAACAAAATAGTGTTCTCTGGTTCTTGTTTTCAGAAAAAAAAATTGTTTTTTTACATATCAGAGTTCAGTTAAAATTTGTGTTTTTTTCACCAGTCTCAAGACCTCGTACCCAGATCCTCTCACTCTTTATCTTGGCCGCCATTTTGAATAAATTTCCACTCTCCGTGGACAAATCAGTCACGTGATTTCTGCTGTGTGCCAGGGTCTTCTCTCCTGCCGCCGCCATATTGGAAAGCGAGAAGACCCTGGGGACGAGGTTGCACCATCTTCATTATGATCAGGATGCCAAATCTGCAACTCGCTGAGGAACGCTCTCGCAATTTCTTTATCCTGATTATTCTGTGACAGTTTACGAACTTCGTCCATATCTAGTCTCAAAATGTGGTAAAAATTGCGCCGCCCATCAGACGTCAATCCTAGCTCTTTATCCCTGTTTATTTTTCGGAGACCCTCTTTCTCTTCTTCTGGATAATTAGAAAGGTCATCCTCGATTACGTCGAGAGATTCCGTGATCCTTACATATTTTTTCCCAACCCACTGCTGTGGTTTTAAAAGAACCTTTTTCGGTTGCTTTGGATCTTTTAACACTGCGACTAACTCGAGCTTGCACCCCTATTCGCTGGTGTAAAACAGCTTACCATTTGGCTTGATTTCCTTTGATGTGTGCGGCATGAAGCAGACTGGATCACGGGAGACATAGAGCTTGAGTTTGAGATGAGCCTCGCTG